CTGGACATAGCAGGAGACATACCTGGGCAAGGCTGGGCACACCTGGGCACAGCTGGCCAAGGCTGGGCACACCTGGACATGGCAGGAGACACACCTGGACACACCTGGGCAAGGCTGGGCACACCTGGGCATGGCAGGAGACACACCTGGGCACACCTGGATGTGGCAGGAGACACACCTGGGCACAGCTGGCCAAGGCTGGGCACACCTGGGCAAGGCTGGGCACACCTGGACATAGCAGGAGACATACCTGGGCAAGGCTGGGCACACCTGGGCACAGCTGGCCAAGGCTGGGCACACCTGGACATGGCAGGAGACACACCTGGACACACCTGGGCAAGGCTGGGCACACCTGGGCATGGCAGGAGACACACCTGGACACACCTGGACGTGGCAGCAGACACACCTGGGCACACCTGGACACACCTGGACGTGGCAGGAGACACACCTGGACACACCTGGGCAAGGCTGGGCACACCTGGACACACCTGGACGTGGCAGGAGACACACCTGGACACACCTGGACGTGGCAGGAGACACACCTGGGCACACCTGGACGTGGCAGGAGACACACCTGGACACACCTGGACGTGGCAGCAGACACACCTGGGCACAGCTGGACGTGGCAGGAGACACACCTGGGCACAGCTGTCCCTGCTGCCCTCACCTGCCTCCCCTGATCTCACCTGTCCGTTCCCTCCCTCTCACCTGCCTCCCCTGATCTCACCTGTCCGTTCCCTCCCTCTCACCTGCCTCCNATCTCACCTGTCCGTTCCCTCCCTCTCACCTGCCTCCCCTGATCTCACCTGTCCGTTCCCTCCCTCTCACCTGCCTCCCCTGATCTCACCTGTCCATTCCCTCCCTCACCTGTCCCTCCCTCACCTGTCCCTCCCTCCCTCACCTGTCCCGGCGTCCCCGCGTCCCCCCAGGGAAATAAACGTTTATTTATTCACGGCCTCGCACGCCATTGGCTGGCCCGCCGCGCCTCAGCCTCGCCCCGCCCCTGCGGCGCGCTCGCCCATTGGTCGCCGTTTCCCTCCAAAACCCCCGCGCGGCGCTCATTGGCCGCGCGCGCTGTCAATCGCGCGCCTCCCGCGAGCTCGGCGCTGATTGGCCAGCGAGTCTCCCGCCGCCGCGCCTGTCAATCGAACGGAGCCCGGCCCCTCCCGCCCTGCGCGCCCCATTGGCGGCACTCGCCGTCAGTCAGGCGCCTCCGCCAATCGCCGCGCGGCACGGGAGGGAGAGGAGAGCGCTGCAGGTTATTGGTCGGGCAGAACGTCAATCAGCCGTCGCCCCGCCTTTTCCGCGATTTCCGCTTCCTTCACCAATCGCGGCGCCTGGCGAGGCCGCCCAGCCTCGGCGCGCAGCGCGATTGGCCGCGCACCCTTCAGTCCCGCCCACGCGCGGCGCCAATCCCCGCCCTCCCATTGGCCCGCCGCGCTGTCTTTCCCCTCAACACCCCCCAATCGCAGCGCGCCGGCTCCTTCCTTCCTCCCATTGGCCGCCGCGCGCAGCCCGCAGCCGCCGATTGGCCGGGCGCCGCGTCACTCAGCGCCCCGCCGCGCTCCGATTGGCCGCGCGCCGCCGGTGCGGGCGGGCCCGGCCGGCGCGCTCCCAGCGTGCCCCGCGCGGCCCGAGGCGAGCGCGGCCCGTGCCCGTCGCCGCCTCCGCCATGTCCGAGTTCGGCCCCGCGCCGCCCCCGCCCCCCCAGCCCGGGGCCGCCCCCGCCGCGTCCCCCTCGGCCGGGCCCGCGGCAGGCCCGGGAGGCGGCGGCGGAGGCGGCGGCGGCGGCGGCGGCGGCGGCGGGACGGGGCGGAAAGACGCGTTCGCCGACGCGGTGCAGCGAGCGCGGCAGGTGAGGGGCGCGCCGGGGCGGCGGGAGGCGGCGGGAGGCGGCGGGGACCCCCCCCGGCCC